AGCTTACAGAAGATTCTATTTTTCTAAAGCACCCAAACACACAAAATTATATAATGTATTATTGTCTGAAGAAACACACATAAATGGTAAAAACCAATGAAAGCAAAAAAAAAAGTTAAACAAAATTTGAAGTATTTGTACTTCTGAGATGAGATGTAGAGAGACAGAATATGGGGTGAAGCTTGTGGGAATATTCAGTGATATAAGAAACACCTAGTTCCTCATTCGGGAGTTGAGTACACAGGTATTTATATTTTTATCTTGCTTTATTATGCATGTATGTATGCATGAAATATCATATATATCCTACTGTAGCTAGCTGCTGAACACATATTACATTTAGAAAATGTAACAAAGGACAATGCCAAAGCTGAAGAACATTGTAAGCAGACATTATTGTTTTCAATAGACTACTTTAGAGCAGTTTTGGGTAAATAGCAAAATTGAGCAGAAGGTACAGAGGGTTCCCATGTACCCCATGCCCTCACACAAGTACAGCCTCCCCACTGTCAACAACTCACACCATCCTACAGTTCATGAACGCAAACTGACCCATCTTTCTCTGTCCACGTCCATAGTTTACATTGGGTTCTCTCTTGGGGTTGTGTATTTTATGGGATTTGACAAAAGTATAATTTGTCTGCCATTAACCCACCATTACCACATCACACAGAGTGGTTTCACTGCTCTAAATGGCCTCTGTGCTCCACCAGCTTGTCCCTCCCTCCCCTGAACCCTTGGGAACCACTGATCTTTTTATTGAATTTGTAGTTTAGCCTTTTTTGGAATGTTACACCGTTGGAATCGTGCAGTATATAGCCTTTCCAGATTGGTTTCTCCCAGTTGGTACTATGCATCTCCATGCCTTTTCACATCAGCTGTCATTTAAGGAGCCTTCTGAATGGAGTGTTGATGGAAGTGCTCTAGGTCATCAGTCCCTGGTGATATTTCTGACATAGTCCCTAGGGATGAAGAGTTCCTACAATTTTCCATGGAGATAACCAGGCGACCATCCAAGGAATGTGAATGGAATTGGTTTTGGGCTTTTTACTGGCAAAATGGCATTCTGGAAGGAGATAGATCTTCAGAGTTCTAAGATGAAATGATGTTGTATCCAGAATCCTACACTCAGTTAGGCTATTTATTGAAAGTGAGCACTAAATAAAAGTATTAATTGGAAATGCAAAGACTAGAAACTTTACCTCCCAGGGAACTTCCCCCCTTCTCACTTCATTTGAGAATGGATGCAATGTAAATGAACAGGGAACAGGAAATCCAAGACCAGCACAAGCTAATGGACAGATGTGAGCAAGGCCTGTGCTCCAGGCTGGGAGAGCAAGTAGTCCAAGTGAGAGCAGGAATTAGAGGTGTTGTACAGGACATCTTCAGGGAGAACCCTAGCCTGCTGTTCCTCAGGGGAGTGCTCACATTCTACTGTCATTTACTCTCCCTCCAACTACTGAGCATCACTCTTTTTTACCCCCTCCTTTTCTTAAATATAGAGTCTCAAACTGGATAACTCCGTGTGGCCTAAGGCTGGGTGAAAAGACCTTTGAATGTTGGCATGGGTTGGTCCTTCAACAGAAAGCAGGGAAGGACATGTCCAGGGGGGAAGGAGGGAAGGGCTGTGATTGAAGAAGGTGCAGATTCTTCGTGCTGGGTCCATGCAGGAGTGACTGTCACAGACAGAGGAGGTCACTGACAGCTACCTTTCTGTCAGGAGCTTCTTGATGTTATTATCTGTTACCTGTTGTTGTGGAACAAATACCCGGAAACATAGTAGCTTAAAAAACAAGTGTTTATTTGCTTATAGACACTCTCTATATAGAGTGTCTTGTAAAGACAGAAGCTGCAGACTTTCCATAAAAAAATTTTTGTATTCTTGGTCATTCCATTCTTGCTGGCACATTCCATTAGTCATTCCAGAGAAGGATTAAACAAAGCCACAAAAATAGGAGATAATGTTGGAGGCCATCTTAAAGGTGCCCACCACTGACCTAGGGGCAGGTCAAGATTGTGTTTTCACTTCGTATTTGACCCCACCCCTGCTGGGACTCCCTGTGGTACTGAAGAAGAAACTCTCATCAGAGCTTTTGATCACTTAGCCTTCTTGAAGATCTCTCCTCTTTTGTCTTTGATTGGTTTTCTATGTTAGCTTCCTATGTGGTACAATACATGGTCTCAAACTCCCTAGTAGAACTCGGGCTTAACTGGTGTGACCTGGTTTTCTTCGTGGCTGTGCTATGGGAGGCTCCAGTGGGTAGGGGCTCTTCTTTACCCTCCCTCATCACGATCACCCAGAAGAGGCAGGTTAGGGTTGGGTTTCACTAAGAACTCTGCACCTACAGTCATTCTGACCTCTGAGACCTTTTGACTAATCTCAATTCTCTCATCCCTCATTCTCGGGAGATCTCAGGATGCAGGATAGTGGTCTGTATGGGACTGTCTTCTGCTTCTTGAGCCTTCCAAAAGGGAAACTTAAGCTGAGTTGGAGAAAGAATGAGAAGTAACTGTGCCTTCAAGGCTTCCATGTGAATGCAGGTCTCTTCCAGCAGACTTTTTCTTTCCATTGGATGGACAATCTGAGGACACTCATCTTTTGGTGGAACTGTCTTTCAGTGTTATCTCTTCTTAGCCATGAAAAGAAGGAATTATAATACCAAACATTTATAGAATTACATGCCTGGCACTATTCTATGTGCTTTATTTGCCTTAACTCATTAAATCCTCACATTACCTAGATGTGGATGGGTATCTTAGGATGTAATATTATTAAGAAATTAAGAGAGAGGAATGTCAGTTGATTTGCTCAAGATCACAAGGCAAGGGCAGGCTGGAACCAGGATTTAACCTTAGGATTCCTAACCACTCCACTATGCCTCTTTTGGTTCACTTCCATTCAATATTAACTTCACTCTCTATCCCAATGAATTGTCATGATAACCTCTGATAAACCCTCTTTTTTGAGCAGAAGCCTAAAAATGGGCCAAAATTTTATATATTAAGCCAGTTCAGACATCTACCAAATTCAGATTGGACTCCACACTAGGTGAAATCTTCCCAGGTAAATAGAGTAAGGTGATGGTGGTGACAGAAATGATGCAGGGATGGAGGGTGCTCTTGTGAGGACTGAATGATTCCCAAAGTGGTGATAACCAGGTCGTGACACTTCTAGTGGTGGACAGTGAGGTTTCAAATTTTATTTGAAAAAAATTTTTTTTTAAATTTCTTTTCAGCGTAACAGTATTCATTGTTTTTGCACCACACCCAGTGCTCCATGCAATACGTGCCCTCCCCAATACCCGCCACCTGGTTCCCCCAACCTCCTCCCACCCTCCGCCCCTTCAAAACCCTCAGGTTGTTTTTCAGTGTTCATAGTTTCTCATGGTTCACCTCCCTTTCCAATTTTCCTCAACTCCCTTCTCCTCTCCATCTTCCCCATGTCCTCCATGTTATTTGTTATGCTCCACAAATAATTGAAACCATATGATAATTGGCTCTCTCTGCTTGACTTATTTCTCTCAGCATAATCTCTTCCAGTCCTGTCCATGTTGCTACAAAAGTTGGATATTCATTCTTTCTGATGGAGGCATAATACTCCATAGTGTATATATGGACCACATCTTCCTTATCCATTCGTCCGTTGAAGGGCATCTTGGTTCTTCCCAGTTTGGCGACTATGGCCATTGCTGCTATAAACATTGGGGTACAGATGGCCCTTCTTTTCACTACATCTGTATCTTTGGGGTAAATACCCAGTAGTGCAATTGCAGGGTCATAGGGAAGCTCTATTTTTAATTTCTTGAGGAATCTCCACACTGTTCTCCAAAGTGGCTGCACCAACTTGCATTCCCACCAACAGTGTAAGAGGGCTGCCCTTTCTCCACATCCTCTCCAACACACGTTGTTTCCTGTCTTGCTAATTTTGGCCATTCTAACTGGTGTAAGGTGGTATCTCAATGTGGTTTTAATTTGAATCTCCCTAATGGCTAGGGATGATGAACATTTTGAAAAAAAATTTTTGATAAAAAACCATTTTTATTACATACATGCCCAGCAAGGAGAAAAATCTAGGACTATGGTCTGGAGTGGTTTCCAATTAGGAGAACTTCCATAAAGTCTATATAGTTTGGGTTAACTGTACAAACAATGAGATCATAGACAGTGGGTTGGTTTCCTTAATACTGATGCTCAAATTTAGTTGCCTTGACCAACATGGGAAATAACTTTGGCGAAGAACAGAACATAACAGGTACTTTATTTTTATTTTTAATTATTTTTTAAAAGATTCTGTTTATTTATTTGACAGAGATCATGAGTAGGGAGAGAGGCACGCAGAGGGAGAGGGAGAAGCAGGCCCCCTGTTGAGCAGAGAGCCCGATGCAGGGCTCAATCCCAGGACCCCGAGATCATGACTTGAGCCAAAGACAGAGGCCCAACCCACTGAGCCACCCAGGTGCCTCAGCAGGTACTTTATATGAGCAAAAATTTCTGCATAGCAAACATAATCTGACAGGCACTACTTCCCATGACAGGCCCACCATAAGTGTGTACATATGAAGAGCATGGAACCTCTTGGTGTTTGGTACTTAAAATAGTCAGGTTTGCCTTTTCCATTCAACAATTTCTCAATCCCAGTAAAATGGACTTGGAGTCCACCTCCTGTATCCTTTTTTGGATATAAATGATTTGGGCAATTGCTGAGGATAGATATAAGGACAGAGCTTTACAGGACACAAGACTGGCCTTGGATCCTGGTACCACTACACAATACTTTTTGGAGAACAACTAAACACACACTCTCCAATTATACTTCCTCAAAGGGAACATCCCAAAGGATGTTCTATTCTCTGACTCCAGGTGTGCCTCTGAGTCCATGTACTGAGAAGTGAGAACTGAAGGAACAGGGGAAAACCAAGAGGCCTTGGAAAAATGATGCCAACGTTAAGTGATAAGGGGATGTCAGAATGAGACTATATGTCACACTGTGCAATCTTTTCTTCCATCTTTGGATCCCAGCTCATTTAATAAATGAGAAGTAGGACATATATGGAAATTTGCTGAGATGTGGGTTCAAAATGATCTAGTCAGCTCATTTACCTCATGGAACTTAGAACTAACAAAAGTGGAAATACTGAACTGACTGAGAATTCTAAAGGATAGTGTGAGGAGAGGACCCCAGATATCCTGACTTTCCCCAAGAAGGAGCCTGCTGAGACCTCACCCTTCAGATGGCGGCATCTGTCAGAACTTTCTTCAGGATGGTGTTGGTGTCCTTGGCGACTTTGTCAAGGAGGCGCCACTGATTCCACCCTCTAAGGTAGGAGAAACTGGCATAACCTACAAATGGGATTCTGTTCAGAACCGAATATAAGCAAGTGTCTGTATTACAATTTGTCCATGATAATACCCAGTCCCCACTGAGGACAGTGTGTAGATCCTGAGACTTCATAATGGCCTTGTACTCCTCCATAGGTTTTCCCATACTCTGGGCCACCTCCTGGAGAGACTCATCATCCAAACCAAAGAATGAGTGGCAGGCATTCAAAAACTCCTCAAGATCATCTGCATTCTGGATGCCGAAGCTGTCCTGGAAAGACTCTGAGCCTGTTTGCCTCCAAAAAGTGATTGCTTTGTCATTAATGATCTTCCCATAGGTGTCAGATAGGTTCTGTTGGGGCTCATGGTACCTGATGTCAGACACTTCTCTGCACAAGCTCTTCCTAAGCTCTGGGAAGCCATGCAAGAAGGGGTCAAAGTTGGAGACCAGAAATATGATGGGTTCATACACTCCCTCATTCTGGAGAGCTACCCGGATATTCTCTTGGATATCCTGCAGGAGCTGTTCCTTTGAGACTACTTGTGTACTGAGGTCTCTGTCCAGCTTGGTCCAGACAACATAGAACCTCTTTCCCTGTCCCTGGATGATTTTGGCAAGCTTCACGAGATTCATGCTGAACTGTTCAGATGCAATGATGATGAAGAGGTCATACTTGCTAAACTGGATTTCCTCCAGATAGGTCTCCAGGCTTTGGGTGGCAGCCCCTGTGCCAGGCAGGTCCCATAGCTCCACATTGGGCATGTCGGAGGAATGGTAGAGAGTAGGTTTCTGGGTGGTTCTTACCACACCTGTGGGAGCTGAGTCCTCCTCCTCCTGCCCAATTCTCCGCAGTGCATTGATGAAAGAGGACATGCCATTGCCAGAGTCCCCAGTCACTGCAATTCTCACTGAGGCACTGGATGCTGTCTTCATGGTCTCCTTGACCGCAGAGACTATCTCCGGCAACTTCCATTCTTCGGAAGCTTTTTCTGTGTTCCTGACATCCGACATAGATAAGATGTTCCAATCTTCATGGTGTGGCCCAGCAGAGGTGAAGGATGTAGGTGATGGGGTGTGAAGGGACGGGGAGGGCTGCATGATGTTGCTGATCAGTGGACTAACCTGCAGAAATAGGAAAAGCAGGGGGGTTGGGAAGACCAGGCACATAGGGTGGCAGAGGAATCATCACAGTTGATATCCCAGACTGAGGGAGTCAGATCCACACCTAACTCGCTGTAGGCCTTTTGGATGAGAAACAACAAGCCCCTGCAAAACTGTCTGATAGTGTCTCAAAAATCTAAACATATTATTCAGTTACAGAAAACAAGGAAATCCTCCCATTTGTGATCATATGGATGGACTTTGAAAGCTTCATGCTAAATAAAATAAATCAGACAAATACTGCATGATCTAACTAACGTGTGGAATCTAAAAATAAAAGAAAATAAATTCATAGAAAAAGGGAGCAGACTTGGGGAGAGGTGGAGGAAGTGGGTGAAAAGTGGGGGAGAGTGGAGGAAGTGTCCAAAAGGTACAAGATTTCAGTTGTAAGATAAGTAAGTACTAGGGATGTAATGTACAACATGGTGACTATACATATCACCATGATACGATTTATAGGAACGTTGTTAAGGGAATACATCTTAATGCAGAATGTTTTCTCTTTCTTTCCTTTTTATTGTATTTTTATGAGATGATGGATGTTAGCTGAACCTACTGTGGTAATCATTTCACAATATATGTAAATCAGATCAGTGATGTATACCCTGAAACTTATATAGTGGTGTTTGTCGATAATATTTCCATAAAACTGATAAAATAATTTAAACAGAGTCACCAAATGGCCCAGCGATTCCATTGCCAGGTATATACCTGTGAGCAGTGATGACATACATCTATGTAAAACCTGTGTGCAAATGTTCATAGTAGTATTATCTGTAATAGCCCTCAGGTAGAATTAACATGGTTGTCCACCCACTGTTCAACAGATAAACAAAAGTCGTCTATCCACACCAGAGATCAGGACTGAGCATGAAAAATAAATGAAATACTGATACCACCCACAAAATAGATGAACCCCAAAACATTACTCTCAGTGAAAGCAGACAGCACCTTGGACCATATGTTCTATGATTCTATTCACATGAAATGTCCAGAAAAGGCAAATCCTTAGGCACAGAAAATATATGGGGGTATTTCCTTCTTCTGAAGGGCAAATGGTAGGAGGGAAAAGAGGGGTGGCAGTCAAGAGGTATGGGATATCTTTTGGATAATGAAAATGTTCTAAATTTGATTATGACGGCATTACAACTTTGTGAGTATATTAAAAGCTACTGAAAACTTGAAAGGGCTGCGAATTGCTGAATGTATCAATTATATCCCCGAATCAGGAGATGTGCACACGTTAGGGACTCAGAGGAGACTGCTGAGGAATGCTCTGCAGCTCTGGTGCCAGTAGACCGCTCCTAAGCAGGTCACAGATATGAATGGCCTTGAGCAGAAGAGTGTCATGAGGGTCTCTGTGTCAGGTGCACTTAAGTCCTCCTCCACCCCAACTGGGTGAGCAGGATGTCCCCCTGGGGATGTCTGCAGGGCACAAGTAAGCTTATGACAACACTGAATATCCTTCAATCCTGAGGACCCACACATCTTCACTGCATATGTCTTCAGAGTCCAGAATAATTTAAAATTTTTTTTGATAACAGTGAAAAGTACATCTTCTTTCCTCTCAAGACATTTTCCATATCGTTCACCGCTAATTGCATACCTGGGGAATCTCTGTCCTTCATCCACTTCAACATCTAAGTTACACAGACTTTCCAAATAATAACCTACTGATTTTTAAGTCAATACTTAGGTTTGTACATGACTGTTTATCTTGTTACTGTTGTGATTAGTATTTTAGGTATTTAAGTTCTCTTGTGAATATTCTCTTGTAAATTGTGCCCTGAGGTAAAATCTGCAAGCATTTTATAAGGCAGGATTGGGAAAGAGAATTGGTTGGGATTACCTAGGGGATTCTCCTCCTGGGGGATACACACAAAGTGCTGGCTGGTGGGCTTTCATAGTCCTACAGGTTATGAATCTTTGCTGTGGTAATTTCCCCTAAAGAACCTACAGTTTCATACTAATAGCATTTTTCATACAGCTAGAACAAACAATCCTAAAATTTGTATGGAGCCCCAAAAGACCGCAAATAGCGAAAGAAAACTTGAGAAAAAGAAAACAAAGCTGGAGGTATCATGATTCCAGACTTCAAGTTAGATTACAAAGCTGTAGTGATCAAAACAGAATGGCACTTATCTCATATATTTTTGTGTTTTTATGAGTATGTGTATAAAACCATTTTTTTTAAAGATTTTATTCATTTATTTGACAGACAGAGATCACAAGTAAGCAGAGAGGCAGGCAGAGAGAGAGAGTGGGAGAAGCAGGCTCCCAGCTGAGCAGAGAGCCTGACGAGGGGCTCGATCTCAGGACCCTGAGATCATGACCTGAGTTGAAGGCAGAGGCTTTAACCCACTGAGCCACCCAGGTGCCCTAAAACCATTTTTAAAGTAAACATCTTTCATTAAAATGTAAGTGTACTAAAAACAAAGTAAAACAAAACAAAAAACATCTGTATGGTACTGGTGCAAAAATAGACACATAGATCAATGGAACTGAAGAAAGCATCCAGAACTAAACTCAGAATTATATGGTCAATGAAACTTCAAGAAACAGGAAAGAATATCCAATGGAAAAAAGACAGTCTCCAACAAATGGTGTTGGGAAAACTGGACAGCAATATGCAGAAATAAATTTCTTACAGCATACACAGAAATAAATTTCTTACAGCATACACAGAAATAAGTTCAAAGTGAATTAATTATCCAAATGTGAGACCTAAAACCATAAACATCCAAGAAGAGCGCATAGGCAGTAACTTCTTTGACATCACAACTTCTTTCTCGATATCAATCCAGAAAGGAAGGGAAACGAAAGCAAAAATAAACTATGGGGACAACGTGAAAATAATACACTTTTGCAGAACGAAGGAAACAACAAAACTAAAGGTAACATACAGATTAGGAGAAAATATTTGTAAAGACATATTGATAAAGAGCTAGTATCCAAAATATATAAAAAAACTTATACAACTCAACACTCAAACGCCAAATAATCTAATTGAAAAATGGTCAGAAGACACAGATAGGCTTTTTTCCAAAGAAGACATCCGGATGGCCAAGAGACATATGAAATGATGCTCATCATCACTTATCACTAGGGAAATGCAAATTGAAACTATAATGAGATATTACTTTACAGTAATATTCAGTCAGAATGGCTGAAATCAACAACACAAGAAACAACAGACATTGGTGAGCATGTGGAGAAAGGGGAAACCTCTTACACTGTTGGTGGGAATGCAAACGGGTACAGCCACTCTGGAAAACAGTATGGAGGTTCCTCAAAAGTTAAAAATACAGCTAACCTATGACCCAGCAACTGTACTACTAGGTATCTACTTAGAATACAAAAAAAACTAATTCAAAGGGGTACATGCACCCTGAAGTATATAGCAGCATTATCAATCATAGCCAAACTACAGAAAGAGCCCACGTGTCCATGGACTGATGAATGGATAAAGAAGATGTGGTATATGAATACAATAGAATATTACTCAGCCACAAAAATGAAGTATTTTCATTTGCAATGTCATGGTTTGAGCTAGAGAGTATTATGCTAAGCAAAATAAGTCAGAGAAAGACAAATACCATATGATTTCACTCATGTGTGGAATTTAAGAAACAAAACAAACAAGCAAAGTGAAGCAAAAAGACAGAGAGAGGCAAAAGAAGAGAGAGACTCTTAAGTATGAAGAACAAACTGATGGTTAGCAGTGGGGAGGTGGGTAGGAGGATGGGTTAAACAGAGGATAGGTATTGGGAAGTGTACTTGTGATGAATACTGACTGATACACAGAAGTACTGAATCATTACACTGTACACCTGAAACTAATATTACACTGTATGCTAACTAACTTGAATTTAAGTAAAAACTTTAAAAAAACTACTCTTTTTATGTGCACAAATGCAAGTTTTAAAACATATTAAAATTCAAGACTGCCTCTTTGCTGAAGAGTTTCCCTATGAGCCCCATGAGGCCTTCTATTCCATGAGGGCTTCCCTTCCAGACCCATCTATGGGGTCTCCTGATGCTGCTGGGAGGCCAGTCCTCACACTGAATCAGAAGGCCCAAAGCCCATCTGTAGGAGAAATTTCTCATTGGCCTACAGGTCCTATGGTGTAGTTTCTTGCTCTCCTCCTCCACCAAACCCACCCCACTTGCATCTTTACTGATGGGTCTGAAGAAGACTTTCCTGTGATTCTTCTTACTCCCTCCAACTCTTACCACAGTGTAGGAATGTCCTGTTTCTGTGAGTCTGTCTGAGCTGGGTCTTTTGCATGGCATTTCTTGATTAATCTTCCCCAAGCTCTATTAGGTAAGTGATATTATTCCTAGCTACAGATGAATGTATTTCCCAGATGTGATCTGTGAGCATCTCACAGATAAGAAATAAGCTTGACAGTCTGGGAAACAGTATGGAGCTTCCTCAAAAAGTTAAAAATAGAACTACCCTATGACCCAGCAATTGCACTACTAGGTATTTACCCAAAGGATACAAACAGTGATTTGAAGGGACACATGTACCCTAATGTTTATAGCAGCAATGTCTACAATAGTCAAACTGTGGAAAGAATCCAGATGTCCATTGACAGATGAATGGATAAAGAAGATGTGGTGTGTCTATATATACAATGGGATATTACTCAGCCATCAAAAACAAAATCTTTCTATTTGCCATGATGTGGATGGAATTAGAGGGTATTGTGCTAAGCAAAGTAAGTTAATCAGAGGAAGACAATTATAATTTCACTCATATGTGGAATTTAAGAAATAAAACAGAAGAACATAAAGGGAGGGAAGGAAAAATAAACCATGATGAAATCAGAAAAGGAGACAAATCATGAGACTCTTAACCCCAGGAAACAAACTGAGGGTTGCTCAAGGGGAGGGAGAGGGATGGGGTAACTGGGTGATAGACATTAAGTAGGGCACTTGATATAATGAGCACTGGGTGTTATGTAAGACTGATGAATCACTGAACTCTACCTCTGAAACTAATAATATACTATATGTTAATTAATTGAATTTAAATAAAATGAAATAAAAAAAGAGAGGGAGGCAAACCATAAGAGACTCTTAACTATAGGGAACAAACTGAGGGTTTCTGGAGGGTGGTGAGTGGGGGGATGGGCTAAATGTGTGATGGGCATTAAGGAAGGCACCTGTTTGGATGAGCACTGGATTTTATATGCAACTGATGAATCACTAATTTCTACCCCTGTAACTAATTATATGTTATATATTAACTAAATTGAATTTAAATAAATAAAAAGAAGAAACAAGCTTGAAGATTACAAAGCAATGTTGGAGGATCCCAGATTTACTCCAATAATGTCATTTTCTGTTTCTATCTGGATAGGAGGGGAGGGTGATCCTAGTTAGTGCTGAATATCCAGCCCCAGGGGCTGAGGGATGGCTGGATGATGAGATGCTACTCCTGGAGATGTGGGTCCACTTACTGCTATCAATTGCCACTTACCTCTCCCTAGACGCACCATTCTTAATCTGGGGAGAGAATGGAAATCACAGTCCTCTCTCAGCTCCCATCCTCACAACACATTAAGGAAAACTCATTGCTTTCCAAGTATGAGGAAAAAATCCTACAATGTGTCATCACATCTTAGAAACTGTTACAGGGAACTTGACTGCCCCCCCCCACCCTTGGGAGATGGATGCATAATGATATGATCAGGAGATGCTGGGAGTTCAGAGGGAGGGAATCTCTTGAAATATGATGTAATCACCATCCCATCTGCCTGGGGACCAGAGTCCCTTGGGGACTGTGCCCCCAAATCTTCAGGGTCCTCCACCAGGAGCCCCTATGACAAATTTGAGGTGCAATAGGTCAGCAAGGATGGTGCCTCCTCCCACAGGAGGGCAGATGCCCTGAGCTCAGTGAGGGGGTGAATGACATGGTGGGGGAATATGCATGGACAAAGCTGGCTAAAAGCCAGAAAGATGGAGCTCTGGTCTGGGTCAGGCTGGAGGAACACTCTGGAGTGAGAATCCCTAAGAGTAGCCTTCCCTTACCCTTATACTCAAAGCCCTCTTTAAGACCTCTCTTGACCTTTCCTAACAATAGCCCAAGTTCTTGTTTATGGGGGAACACAGAGGTTTCCAAAGGTCTTACCAGCCGTCCTGGCTCCAGGGAGATGATCTCCTGGGTGAGTTCCAGGCTCACTGACTTGGTTTGTATGAAGGGGTTTCTTCTGCTCCTGAGCATGCTATGTATTCTGGTTACCTATAAGTTTGCCTCTAGTATGGGATGGGGAAGGCTGGATGTCCTTATCAGTGGTTCCATGGGACCCAGGCTAGCTAGGACATAGGAACTGAACTAGAACAAGGATTCAAGAGCTCTTGAATCCTTTTCTTGGTTTGTCTAAATCCCATCACAACCTCCACATGTACCCATCTCACCTTGACTTCCTGTGTGTTAGATCAATTGAAAAAAACAAAAACAAAAAAAACCAAAACACCTCTGTCTCCTCAAGAGATGAAAGTCCCAGAAAATATTGTGTCATCCCATGTTAGATGCCTGGTATAAAAATACACATATACAGGTCTTGGCACTTATAGTAAATAATTCCTTAGACTCTCTGGTGGCCTTAGTGCCCGGCAGGTATGGGACATATTTCTGTTAGATGAATGAAGCACAATGCATCATTGCATATCCTTCACTCCTTAGGTGACAGATAAATTAACTTTTCTTCCTAAATCTGTCATCTGAAATGTTGAAGCCAGCTCTGCCACAGCCCTTTGGAAAGCAAGTAGGGGCTGGTGAAGAGTATGAGCTCCCCACCCCAGGGTTGCTAAGGGAGGTAAGCACAAACTTAAAATCTTCTGGGTCATTTCTGTGACTATGTCTGACTCAACCATGTACTTTGCAAAGGTCTCTTCACCTGAGCACCTGTGCTGGGCCCTACTGGAGGGGGTGACTGAAGCCCTACAGCACAAGCCACAGCTCCCTGTTTCCCACTACCTGCTTATCTAGTCCCTGCCTTGCTCGTGGTGCTAGACAACCCTGCATGTTGGACCCTCTCAGGGTCCTTTAAGACAGCAGTATGCCCATGTGACACTGCCAGGCCAGGCTGGGACAAGGGTAAATCCACGAGAGGTAGCAGGTCTTCCAGGAACGGTCAGTGTGCAAGTGCTGGTGTGTGTGTGTGTGTGTGTGTGTGTGTGTATATGTATGAGCCTCCAGGACACCAAGGCTCAGAGCACTAACCCAGAAGTTGAGGAGATGCCAGCAGAAATAAGCCTGGAAAGCAAGTGGCCCCCAGGCTCACTTTTTTGCAGGTCATACCATGTTATACCTCTGATCTTCCCTATCTGGAGAGGGTTTGAGGGTCCTTGACTAAAGAAATCTATACTTTTATGGAGGGAGCTCAGGGAGCAGATTTCAACTGGAGAGGGCAGTTGTGCTTGCAAGGAGAACCAGACCCTGCAAGCAGACCTTTCAAAGTCTTCTGAAGGACACCATCAGTAAAAGACGCATTTCACAAAGGAACTAAGTACCCACGCAGCACACATGCACTCACACACATGCATACACCTGACGAAAGACTTTACCAACAATTTCTCTACATTCCATTTTGACCTATTGCATCTGTTCCAATGGGTAACTTTTTTGAACTCCGGTTATACTGCACCAAATAGATTTCATGATCTAAGAAGCAGAATGAAGAACACTCATTAGTGCACTTCCCATGCACTATAGAGTTCATGTCATGCCCAACGATCTGGAGCTATGAAGCCAGGATCAGCCTTGGCCCAGACAAGAAATCCGAGGCATCAAGGACTTTTGTGACTTTGAACTCACTGTGGATCAATCCCCACATTTCCCCCCATTTTATCAGCATAGGGAAAGGGTGAGGGGGAAAAATATACATACTGCTTTATTCTAGGAAAGTGTAATAAACATCTGCATCATCAGTGGGCATGAAACACAAAAGGACCGGGTCTGGGAAAAAGTATTTCAAGAGTCCACCTCATTGAGGTAAAGGATGGAGGTGGTGTCCAGCAATAGGGACAGTTTCTCCTATGCAGATACACATGTCCACTGTTATACATTGTCTAAGGTCTGCTAGACCCCTTGTCCCTGAAACCCCACCCCCATTCCCTAATCCACAAGAGGTTCAGCTGGACTTCCCAATTCCAGATTACCCCAGAAATTGCCACTGTCCCATGTTCTACTTAGACTCTAAGAGACTAAGAATGGCAAATGCTGCTGTCCTTTTCCAGGCACGGTCCCATCAGAAGGACCCCCCCCCCCTCAACTGCCAACTGCCATGAATATGGAGATGAAAGGCCCATTGTCTCCACACTAGAAGGTAGAATTGGTTTGATGCAAACAAAGTACAGGGTTCTGAGTTTATCCTCTGAAGAATGTCAGAGGGGGGCCCTGCTGTGAATACTCACTGAAAGGGATAAGCCAGTCCCCCGAGCTCCCCTGCCCTGGTGTCAGGCTCTGCTTTTCACGTCTTTCCTTCTGCAGGGTCATTAGCCACATTGGGTTTTACCCCCTCTCACCCCTCTCACTCACCTGCTCCAGGAAGCAGAGGGTGACTGTGATCAGGCAGATGGTCCTGCTGGCAAGTTAGCCCTCCCAGGGAATCGGTCGAGCTCTCAGGCAGAGATGCTTACGTCTGAGATCCCTCACAACAGGCTCCAAGCTCAGATTGCTCCCGAAGGAAGGAAGGGAGTTGTGCTGGGTTGAGGTTGTCCTAGAAATAGTCCAGACAGAAGGGGCAGTGGGGAGAGGAACCAGGAAAGAGAAGGCAATCTCGCAGAGTTTTCTGCCCAGTCCTTTCAGCCCCAGAGCTGTGCGATTTCTGAGTAAAGCTGGGGGCACGGCTTGGCTCGGGGGGAGGGAAATCAGAGTGGGCTGCTTTCAGTTTCTATTCCTGGAAACTACTCCAGTTCTCAAAACAGGGCTGAACCGGTTCCACCTTCAGCATTCTGGAGGGTGGGGGCTTTTTGGCAGTTGCCCTGGTTTGTGCAGGGTAATTTGAACACTTTCAGCCCAGAGGCTCTGAGAACAGCTGCCTTATACCTAAGAGTCTTACTCTGATGCCAGTGTCCAGACCGGTGAGAAGTCCATATTCAACCCCCTTGAGGCTGGCCGCTCAGATGGGTGCAGACACTGCCTGCCAAGTTACTCCTTAGAGCTGCCCAACGTGTTCAGCTCAGCGGCTAACTCCCTTCCGCCCGCAGAGATCAGACTGCAGAAGTGACATCCATGGTGGATTTCTCTTCCTGCCCCCTGCTGTGACCTTCCCTGGTGTCAATACACCTGCCCCAGCCAAGTGAGAGTCTGAGCTCAACACAGCTCACGAATGACTTGGTGAGTGTAAAAGCTGCGTAAACTCTCAGGGATTGTTCCATCCTCATCCTCCTGTGGGAGCAGCAGTGAAAGACCCCCAGGGTGTTTGTGTTCAGAAGGGAGGCCCCAGAGAAGGGGCTGTGTGACTTTGATGGGGTGAAAAAGGAGGTCTGTTGTACAAAGTTTCTACCGAGATTGCAAATGTTCATAACAAGTTATGAAATCCTTCTGTGGCTAAGATCCTGTGAATTCGTCATTGTCATCCTTGATTCCTCCCTTGGGTCATGAAAGGACAGCTGAGAGGTTGTGCAGAGGAAAGGCAAGGATAATTTTAGTGAGCCTGTTACAAGGGACATGGCCAACAGAAGGAGCTGCCTTTGAACTTTGACACCACAGAGGAGGCAGAAGGCTGGAAGGTTTGGACTGTACTTGTTCCAAGATCCCAATGGGGCCATGAGCATGGGCCTTCATAGGACCCTTCTTCCTGAGGGACATTCACCACACTAGGCCATCAGCTGCACTGCAAATGTCCTACCTGAGTGAGTCTTTTCCTATAATTGTAGTTCCCCTATGCCATGCTCCTCCATGTAATGAGGGCAGTGGGAGGAAGAATGAAGAGAGAAGCCTACTCTTTTCCTGTCCCTGTTGCAGATGTCTCACCCAGTTGGAGGAAGGGCTGAACTCTACAAGAGTCTGGGGATTGTGTATTACACTGACTGGACATCTACTCATCTGAGTGGAACCAGGAGAGGAGGGATTTCTAAGCCATTCGTTCCTAAGAAGAACTTATTTCCCTTTTCTCTGAACAGAGAGAACGTAACAACAACTTTATAAATCATACTTCCTCATTTCCTAATGGTGATTTAGGAGCAGCAAGTCTGAGTCTGGACCTTGAGCTGTGCATTCTGGGGCATCAGCCCCCAGCCCCTTGGGTGCAGAGGACACTGCAGACCTCAGCCAACCCAACAGAGAGCACCATGTCCAGAGTGATTCTCACACACTGCTGGGGAGCAGATGAGCCCTGGGGAGCCCCTGATGGGAGCTTTCTCTCACCCTCTACAAAGAGCCCCATCCCTGCCGGGGTACCTGGGCCTCAGAGGATTTTCCTGCCTTACTTCTGAGAGCTGTAATTGGCTATCTGTGTGTGCTCCTTTGCATCCACGGCCAGTTGTCAAGGTCATGTGTGAGCCTGCCATTGCTTCTACCTGGAATTTCCATCTCTCTTGCCCAATGCTTCCTCCCTGAATGATTTCTCAGTCTTTGTCCCATCATTGCAGTGATTGTACGTCAGACGGAGAACATTTCTCTGATGTCCCCAAAATATGGCAGGAGGGAGAGATTCAGGACCGAGTACACACAGAAGAATAGACACAGCAACAATCTGAAAAGAACTAAGATATTTGTCTATTTTATATCTTTTACTTACTCATGTAATACAATGATCACTTAAACACTGAACAATCATCCCAAGAAATATCTCCCTGTGTGTTCCTATTTACTCTAGCTCTGTCCCCAGCCCCTGGGTGACAATGTCATGCAATATGTGTTTATGATTCTTTTATTTGTGGTGTTATCACTTATATATGCATGCCTAAACAATATATTGCTTAGTTTTCTTGAAGCTTTATTTAAGGGGTGTTCTATGGGTCCTTAATATTTAATCTTTTTTAAAAAGATTTTATTTATTTATTTGACAGACAGCGATCACAAGTAGGCAGAGAGCAAGCAAAGAGAGAGGGGGAAGCAGGCTCCCTGCTGAGCAGAGATCTTGATGCGGGGCTCGATCCCAGGATCCTGAGATCATGACCTGAGCCAAAGGCAGAGGCTTAACCCACTTAGCCACCCAGGCACCCCAATATTTAATCTTAACACTATACTAAAAGATTAATTCCTCTCTATACTTTCGATGCTGTGTAAGTCAACTTATTTATCAGTTCTCTGTCAATGCCTATCCTCTCCGTTTCACAGTTATGAAGACCTCTGCTGGGAGCATATGTCCACATGTCTTCTGCACATTTTTGCAGAGTGATTCTTTGGTATAGTGTTAGGAGTGGAATTGCTGAGTCCTAAGGCACATGAATGTGCCATTTTATGATTTGGCCATATTGTTTCTTCAAAGTGATTGTATTGATATACATTCCCAGCAGCCACGTTTCAGAGATTCTATCAATCAACATTCTCACCAGTACCCAATTTTTCCCGACTTTTGAAATTTTTCAGTCAAACTAATTAACACTGTCATCTTGTAGTGCACAAAGGTGCATTTGTCTCATTAGTAGTTAATCTGCAGTATTTTCTCTATTTTTTGCCCAAATATGTTTCTTTTTTTTGAGAAAGTTCTATTCATGTCATGCTGAATTTTTTTTTCACTTTTCCCTAGTGATTTATGGAATCTTTAAAATCTTTCCTTCCATCGATCCTTTTTTGGTTACATTAGTGCAAATTATCTTCTCCAGATTTGTGGATATTTTTAGACTTTTTTTTTTGTATTTGATTCCATAAAGAAAAACTTTTCACTTTTCTAGAGTCAAAGGTATCACACTGGTCCATCTGTTTTATACAGCTGGCATCTTGGTATCTTTATACAGGTTACATCTCCTTTAAGAAATCTTTCCCTAAGAACAGCTATGTTCTCTTCTTCAGTTACCATTTAAATTTAGGTCTTAAGTTCATCGGGAGTTGATTATCATAGGTGAAGTAAGTAGAGATTCAGTATCCTCTGTCCATATGGAGAACCGGTTTGTCAGCTCTGTTTACTAGATGGTGTCTTCTATACCGACTGACATCCAATGTATGTCTCCCAAGCAACAGAATTCCACACATGTCTGAATCCCATGCAAGACTGTGTGTTCCTTTCTGTGGGCCAGTTGGTCTACCCCTGTGCCAGTATCCAATTGTCTTAGATACTATGGCATGGAAATAAATCTTATAGCTCCTCTTGTAGATCCTTATGGATATAGATCCTCCTATGTTCTTCTTCTTCTAGAGATATTTTGTTATTTTTCCTCCTGATCTTCCATATAAATCTTAGAATCTAGGCACCTTATTCCCTTTTTGTGTCCACTTCCCTGGTATTTTACCAAATTTCCTCAGGGCACCTCCTGGTAGTGGAAGTTGTTTGTGAGTTATTCCCATAACCTGCCAGGGAAATCTATGCCCAAGTGGGATGATGGGGCAGCCAGCAACAGGGCCCCTAAAAATGAAAGAAATGGAAAGACAGAGAGAAGTTATAGTCTTTTTTCTTTCTGATGGGAAATACTTCTCAGTCACTGAAAGCTTTGGAAACTTGTTCACAACCTTCTTCCCTGTCCCCAGGGCTTGCCTGGGAGTCTTGGCTATATTACCTCACAGGAGTTATCTGAGACCTGCCTTTCATGGTCCCTGGTGTTTCTCTGCCCTCCCTCTGCTCCCTGAGCCACTGAATTCATAAGATCATCATGTTTCTTTTCCTGGAACTGCTTGTTCTGCAGAGAAACAATAGTTTCACTTTCGTGTCCTATAAATATGGGCCTGCAACTCTCAGCCAAGCTCTCATGGCAAGTCAGAGGCTGCCATCCTTCCTGTTGTTTTCACACTTTCCCGGGCAGGACAGAGGTTCAGGGCAGTGACCTCAGGAGCACTCGGTGCCTACATTTCTCAAGGAGGACAGTTCTGTGGAGTGTTCCTATGTCAGAGGCTCCTGGTATACTCCACTAGACTCAGCATTTTCTGTTGTGTTAGTGGAAATATTTGTGATATCCGACATCAGAAGCCCCTTTTCTTCTCGGAGCTGATGAGTGAACAAATTATGTATGTGAAATGATGGGATACTGGGTTTGAACTTGGAGAACTGAGCAGTTAAGTTTGGCAAGTAGAGAGCAAAGATTCCATTGAGCTGCTTGTGCCATTCTCTTTGCAGAAGAGAGAACCATTGTCTGAAGATATGTCTTTTCCTTCCTTTTTAAGAAGCTGAGGGACACCTGGGTGGCTTTGTCGTTAAGCATCTGCTCAGGTCATGATCCCAGGGTCCTGGGATTGAGCCCTGCATGGGCTCCCTGTTCAGCAGGAAGCCTGCTTTTTCCACTCCCACTCCCCCTGCTTGTGTCCCCTCTTTCACTGTGTTTCTATCTGTCAGATAAATAAATAAAATCTTAAAAAAATAAAAAAAATGTGAACGTTGTACGAAAATTTAAAATAAGTAGAATTTTTACTAGGTGACTACCTAGTTTAGTTTAGAAACTAAATTATGTTGTAATGTGAATCAGTCCTTCACTACCATAGAGCTGTTTAAAACTCTGAGTTTTTGTAGCCATAGCAATGCAAAATAATCCTTAGTTGGGCATTATTTTTGTCCATTCAGGCCCTAACAAATTCGACAAACTGTATGGCTTATGAACAGAAATGTACTTCTCATACTTCTGGAAGTTAGAAAAACCCAGTTAAAAGTACCTATAGATTATATAGTTAGATCTCATTTCCAAGGTGGGCATTTCTTCCTGTTACCTCACATATTAGAAG